ACAGAGCCTGCAAGCACTCTATTGTTTAAGAAATACACTCCTTCGTATTGACTGATTTAACATAAATGGAAAAGGTCGAATTTMGGTCAAATTTAGCCAGTCTGCGTCAAGGTAAACACTGTCAAAGCCCTGAAACATTTTTCAGGCATATCAATATTCCCGCTCTTCTTTAAAACTGGATTACTTCTTTTCTTGTACATTTAATTCCCCCAATGCTTCAATTTTTACTTTTTTCTAGAAAATCCCCAGAAGCCATGATCACTTTACCTGCCAAACTGCACACATCTGCATTGCATTTTTCCTAATCAAATGAAAATTGCTAAAGTCATTCCCCTTTATAAGGGAGGTGACAAATCCCTACTATCTAATTATAGACCRATCTCCCTTCTCTTGACTTTTTCAAAAATATTTGAAAAAAATATCTGATACTCTGAAGATGCTCCGCTGTGACATCGTTGCGATTTGGATGTAGACCCTTTCTYGTTTATCTGTCAGAATCGTGAAAAAGTCAGAAGGCAAGTTGAACCAAAGATTGGTCTCATTTCTGTAGCCACAAGAAAAAGTTAATCGGTTGATCAGAGCACTYATATAGAGATTTCCATCACTCATCCTGAACCTCAAGCAAGTGAACACTCTGATCCCGAATCTAAAGCAAGTCAACACTCCGATCCTGAACCTCAAACAAGTCAACACTCTGATCCCGAACCTCTAACAAGTCAACACTCTTATCCTAAAACTACAAAAACTCAACACTTTGATCCTCTAAATTTACAAGAACCACGGGTAAAACAAGCCAGGCTTCAATGTTTGGGTTAAGAAAACTGTMCAGAGATGAAATAGGAAAGACCATGAACAAGAAATGGAGAGAGCATCAGTCTGGACTTTTGATAGGTGATGCTGCAAAGCTAAAAAGTGCTGCTTCTCATCAAAAGTCCTCAACTATTAAGAGGAATGTGGACAGAATTMCTGCGGATATTGAGGAACTTGGAAAGATGGACAGAGAGTTCGTGGATGTTAATGATGTAAATACAAGGAAACATTTGGAKGCAAAAAGAAAATTCTTAATGTCAGACCTCAAGAAAGCCAATGAAGCTGCCAGAAAGAACATCAAAAAAGCTAAAAATAGTTAGTTAAGGTGGCTTGATTGGATAATTTCGGCAGTAAAGAGTAGTAAAACAAAACCACCAACGCTGACTAGCGCCTGGGATTTAAATGCGATTTTCGTGAAAACGTGTTCATTCGAAAATTCTATCCTTCTCTTAAAACCTGGGAATGTTTTATCTTAATTCTTGTGATTTGTTTGTGTCCACGTAATTGCACTTCGCAGTTGAAAGGTAGCTCGCCGAAATTATCAAATCAAGCCACCTTAACCGATGTTGCAAAATCATTAGTGTGTCTGTAAATATCATTTGTTTATAATACATCGCTTGATTTTCATATTCATTATTAAAAAATGTTTTAAAGTGATAGATTATTGATAGATTCCTCGTTAATCATATATTTTTTTTAAATCCTATCAATAAACAATGATATTTAAATCCTATCAATAAACAATGATAATTGTTATATTTATGTTTGTGCCTTTTTTGAGGCTAGCTTACGTTGCATCCGGTGCTTTTGTTTCATGGTTGCTCTATAAATAAACCAGWTTGAACAAAAGTACCGGATTGCTACCACTGGACATGAAAGCTAATGACGTGCTAATCCTTGTTTGTTTYGTTGTGGATTTGTAGAGGCATGTACGAGCATTAGTTGGCAAGGCACAAACAGAGTACATCTTCACTACAGCACTAAGTCCAATCTTTAAGTTCTTTATGAAGTCCAGTAAAGCAAAATAATTAGTAACATCTCCAAAAACCCATTCAACAGATGCTCTTACACTACTCATTGCAGAATTGTAATTTGTTTGAATGTGGGTTAGTCTTGGACCTTTAAATGGTGATTGAAGATGGACGCTAATAGGATGGGCAAGGTCTTCAAATAAACACAGTGGGTTGCCAAGGGGAGAGAGGGCATGTCCTTGACGAGGAATGGAGCGAGCACCGGAGAGAGGAATTTTAGGATGGAAACATGGCGTCTTCTGTGAAACTTTACGAGTGTGATACCTGGCGCTTATTTGTTAAACGGTAAGTTTAATTTTATGTTGCCTTTTGTTTGTCACAACTATGCTTTAATAAACAAAGCCTGTTACTATAAGTCCGAATATTTCAGTTACTTTTTAGTGTGGAAGAGTATATTTCCCAAGGAAAAGATGGAGATATTATTGATCCAGATCCAAACCAAATATTCACAAATAGAAAGTTAAGCAAAGAAGGAAATCTACAACGRCGCTGCTTGTTGCTGTTGCGTCRACGTTCAGGTTTCTCTTGAGACGTTTATTTATAACTGGTTCCGTCCTTGGTGAAGGAGCTGSCCGTTTTCTTGGTGAAGTACGCCAGTTAAGCTTCGTAGGGAAGACTTCATTGCRTCTTTTCAAAGACATTTTCCCACCATATCCTTTTTGGATCTTGCTGGGGTCGAAGTGCAATGAGCATACTTCAATGTTGTTTACGATGAAATTTTTGCCAAGATCTCTTCTGATCTTCGCAAACCAAACCTTCTTTAAAGGTGCTTCTTTTGGGAAACTAAAAAAAACACTTTTTCTCCGTTTGGACCAGTAGTTGTAGTTCCCTTTTTAGGGCAAAGATGAACGAAGCATTTTATGTTCAATCGCGAAACCATGTTAATTATGTGGCTAGCAGAGTCCTAAAATGCATGGCTCCGGTGCTTGCTCCATTCCTAGTCCGAGCGGCCGCCATTTTTATGACATTGGTGTATGCCACTGTCATGTCTCCTTCAGACAACTGGACCATATAATGCATACATATGCCTCTAGACAGGGAATAACTGTTTAACTTAGAGTTTTACTCTAAAGTTTGTGGATATTTCCCTGAATTTTCTTCATCGGCGCCAATATTTGATATTCCGGATTCCTGTGGTGTTTTACGATCGAATTCTGATGGTTCAAATGTGTTCAGAAAATCGTTAATTTTGAACCATTTTTCTATTAATTCTGCAAACCTTTTTATCAATAAAAGCTTATTCATAGTTAATGAGCGTTTTGGAGTGGATTTTTGGTCTTTGGAGTACTTTTTGGCAGTTTTCAGAAAGGTATGCAACTTCCAGCCGCTAGCCGSCGAGTGACATCCAAAAAAACCCTCCCAAAAAAAAACACTTCTCTTTAGTTTAAAAACTTCTTTTGGCACCTGTTTAAGGTGATGTTGTACAACATAACCAAGTTTGAAAGCAATCTGTTTAAGGTGATGTTGTACAACATAACCAAGTTTGAAAGCAATCGGTTAAGTTTTTCCCCATGAAAAGTCTTGATGAACCAACGAAACATCCTTTCTCCCTATGATCTGTTATTAAAGAGGACCAACATTGTGCAAAACGAGTCCTCATTAATCTCCCCTCRAGATTTTTGTCAAAGTCATGTCTTGGTTTTATTTATAAGAAAAGTTTCAACTTTCCGATTTTCGGTAAATTCGATTTGGAAAACACTTGAATCGATATGAGTTTGTGGGTCTTSTTAATCAAAGAAAAAACACTCTGTAGTGTGTAAAAGGCAATGTTATATCAATATTATTATTATGTGCAAATATTATTTATTCCCAATTATAGAAAACTGAGCACATTCCAAGCACAAATCCTACTATGTTAMTAGAGCGGTTACACTACGAGCGTGCTGCTGTCATGGAGATAATCGTTTTAGGACGTCACATCGGGATTGCTATAAAAAATGGATTACTAAAACCTTTTRTGAATGACCAAGATCTTTTATATTGTATATTTAAAATATAACGCGCGCTCTGATTGGTCAATTACCGTTTTATATAACTTAACATAGATCATGAGGAAATGACGTCAGCAACGCAAGCAATGTTTTGTTTGTTTCTYGTTTTTTATTATTTCTTTTGAGTTAATCGTTAGTTAAATCTTAGTTATTTTATAAAAGAGATAGAAAAATCCCCTTCCTTGTGCTATGTTGAGTTATACAGGCACTTGGGAAATTKCGTGAGCCCTCGAGAAGTGCCGTACTCGTAGTACTGCTCTCGGACTTACGCAATTTCCCGCGTGCTTGTATAACTCAACATAGCACGCGCGCTCGTTTTCTATCTCTTCATTTGAGTCAATTGATTGTGTAAAAAAATGTATTACTGATATCACGCTTTTAATCATTTCTGTGTACGTCCAAGACCACGGCCTGTCGAGCCACCCGGAGGGAAGGGGGCTCTTTTATATGGAAGGACGGGAATCTGGTACCTTAGATGAYACGAATGTGAAGACTCAGTCTTTAAATTCAAAATACACAAAATKCCGAATTCAATATTTTTGAGTTGGTACCTTTTAGGGGTGAAAATCATGTTTTGATGTAACCGAAGAGCAATGGAATTGTACAATAAAAAGAACTGGAGTAAAATTGTCCTTTAAATGCTCTTTTAATGGTTGATAATTCATCACCATACTAACAATTYCTCTGTACATTTCCAGTTCCATTCATCAAGTTATTCAGCTCTTGAACACTGCAAAAAGAAGCTCCTTTAAAATGAATCGTGGAGATATATCACTGAAACATCTTCCTTCAATCAGTTCATTTATGTTTTMACACATTGAATTCATAGAAGTAAGAAACCAAGCTGAGTTGACAGATGTTTTAAGCCTGAGAGAGATTCCTCCGCTGAGCATGTCTACTGATGTTTGTTCGCCATGAAGTTAGCAGAGATACAGTGTAATCGGATTGATGGTGAAGAATTGAACTTGGCAAGTTCGAAAAACTAGTACAATTGGACAATTCGCGCAGTTTTGCCCTTGAAGTAAAAAAGGAAAGGTATTATTACAGTACACTGCGTATCAGTAATCCAGATGCCATTGTTATACTGATGGGCGTGGAGAAGTATTTTGAAGAAAGATGGAGTCATAT